AACGTTGCAACGCCCAAAACTCAGGGATATGCGGCATCCTGGCCCGCAGCGCCCTGGCCTGGGAGCCGCCAGGCCCCCTCCCGAGTCGGCCTGCAGCGGCCGACAGCCGCGGGCGCGGACACGCAACACAAAATACACCTGCCTAGCCCTTTGCGAGAGGGCCCGAGGTAGGAGGGCACAACTCATTCGGGATAGGAGGTCTCCTTCCGCACATCGTAAGTGGGGTTATTGTTTTCCCTGCGCCCCCCCCCGCAGGATCTCCTCCTCCCTCTCTTCCTCACCAGCCACTCACACACTCACACACTCCTCACACACCCACATGATCACATGATCATCACCACCGCATCATCGTCACTTATATACACACCCACAATCCCTCGATCACTGTCAGTCACTCATCACTGACTCATTCACGACCCCGCTCACTCACTCACTCACGCCTACCACTGAACGAATTGCGATACAGTCTCAGTCGGGAGCCCCCTCCTTATGGGGCCCGCAAGTCATGCTACGAATCCGAAGCAGCCATCGAAACCCTGTAACCAGGCCTGAACATGGAGGAACCTCCCAGCGGGAACCTCGTGCGAAGTGCGAAAAATCTCATGCGGGAGCCCCCTCCCGATGGGCCCCCCGAATCATGATATTAATCAGGACGGGCCATCGCGATCCCATAACTGTCCTCATTCTTGGTCTCCGAAGGCCTGAATATGGACGAAGTCTCTCTCGAGCGGGAACCTCGCCTGTGTATTGTGAAGAATCTAAAGCGGGAGCCCCCCTCTCTATGAGGCCCGCGGATCATGCTACGAATCCGAAGTGGTCACCGGAACCTTAAAAAGCTGTCGTCACTTTTGGCCTTCTCGGTCCTGAGTATGGAGGACTTCTCGAGCGGGAACCTCGTCTGTTGAAGAAGTCTCAGGCGGGAACCCCCTCCCTATGAGGCCCGCGAATCATGTTACAAATCTGAACGGGCCATCGGGATCCCATGACTGTCGTCATTCTTGGCCTCCTCCGGCCTGAATATGGAGGAAGTATCGAGCGGGAACCTCGACTGCGAGGGAATTGCGAGGAAGTCTCACGCGGGGCACCCCTCCATATGGGGCCCGAGCATTGCGTTGGTAATCCGAGCGGTGTCATTCGAATGCCGTAAGTGTCTTTTGGGCTCCCCGGGCCTCCTTCGGAGCACGGGGGGCGCGCGCCAAGCCAAATCGTTCGCCCCCCGCTACCTACCGCAGGGGATGTGGCTGCAGGTGCACGGCTTCAAGGAGTCTCCGATCGACCACGAATTCGCCGAGCTGCTGCGAGAAGACGCCGAAGGCGCCGACGACGACGGCGAGGCCGAGGCGCGGGCGAGGAACTTGCTCATGTGCAGGCCAAGCGAGCAGGAGCTCACGTGGCACAGTTCGGGGCCGCACGTCGTGCGCCGCTCAAGGTTCACACTGACGCACGCGTCCTGCCCCACCTCCACACTGTCCCAGGGCCAGACGGTGTGCAGCGTCACCGGCGACTGCGCGAAGGACGAACACGCTGGCCGCACGGGCATGTCGGACGAGCAGTGGTGGCTGCACTTCTACGTCACGTTCTTCCGCGCCACGTGCATGCGGAACACGCTGACCCTGCGGCCGCCCTCGCGCGAATTTCTGGAGCGCGGAAAGCGCCCCAAAAAATTAATGAGAACCTGCACGCCGACCTCCAGGGGTGAGGAGGAACAGCTCGCAGCACGGATGGGTTTCGCGCTGCCCCCCGCCTGAGCGCGGCCGCGTCCACCTCGACGCTTGCGGGGTTGTCCCAGAGGCCGCGGAGTTGTCCAGAAAGCCTGCCCACGCGCCCCGGCGGCCCGCGGGGTTGGCCCAACGGCAAGGCCCGCGGGGTTGCCCCAAAGGCTTCGTCATCCAGCCGTCGGCGAACGCGCGCGCGCGCTGGCCGAAGCGGCGGCGGCGCCGAAGAAAATCGATGTGTTTGCCCCGATCAGGAGGTGCAAGTGGAAAGGAGGCAGGAGAAAGATAAGGAGGGGTGAAAGGAGTGGGGGGAGGGCGAAGAGGAGCAGGTGGAGATGGAGGAGGATGAGAAGGAGGAGGAGGAGGTGGAGGAGGAGGAGGCGGGGGTACATATAATGAGGAGGAAGAGAAGGCAAAACAGAGGGCGAGAGGAAGGTGTCCGCCAGGGCGAGGAGGACAGGGCTAAGGGCGAGGTAGACATATTTCCATGCGGGGTCGTGCCGTCGGATTTGTTTCTGCAGGTGTACAAACCGAGCCTGGGAGGGGACCGAAGGTAGGAGGTCCAAGCACAGTAGGGACAGGGTTCTCCCACATCCTAGCTGGGGCCTTTGTTATCGCTGGACACCCCGCGCAGTGTTCCTACTCCTCATCCCTACACTCACCATCATGTCAATCCACTACATCTGGGCTCGTCATCGTCCACGCACCCGCTCACTCAGTCACGTTACCCCACCACCCATGCATCGCCATGTGGGGATCCCATCATGTTCGTCGGGCGCCACCAC